TGGTATCTACTAGGACAGCAAGAGTGGAATAAACATAGTCAAAAAAGGAAAATTGTCATATGCAGAAATAGCACATAAGAATGTTGTCCAGAAAAGTGATATAAAGAGAATGGATACAAAAAATTTAAAATTATAACTTATATAAAAATAATATATTTAAGTATAATAATAGTATATATTATATTTTATACTAAATAATATAACTAATTATATTATAATATTAATATAATATAATTAATTCTAATAATATATAAATATTTTCTATATATTAAAATATATTAATAACATATATTACATAAATATATAAGTAATATATAATTATATAATAAATATATTAATAAATATTAAATAATATAAATTATAAAATATATATATGAAATTTTATATAAAAATATACAAATTAAATAAAAGTTATTGAGGCCTTGGAAACATAATGTCCAAATAAATTCCCAGAAACAGGATAATAGAAGAGAATCCAGGAGGAACAAATATGTGAGAAATCATGCTGCAAATTTGCCCACTAAAAGTAAAAGGTTTACAATCCCACCAACAGTGTAAAAGTGTTCCTATTTCTCCACATCCTCTCCAGCACCTGTTGTTTCCTGACTTTTGAATGATCGCCATTCTAACTGGTGTGAGATGGTATCTCATTGTGGTTTTGATTCTCAGTCCCACAGCAGCGTCTTGAGAGGACTTGGGTGGATGTGCAGCAGCTGCAGGGATGAAGTAGACGGGAGCAGCCACGGAAGAAACTCCGGTTTCAGTGACGCACTGTGAGGAGGTCTTCCCAGGGAGGCTGTGGAATCAAAATGTTAAAATGGGGTAGGAAAAAAAGGAGCTACAAGATGAAGATTTTGCCTACCACATTTTGAGAAAATTTGAACAGATAAGTGATACAGTGAATGAGGCAGGACTTTCGGCGAAAATCTGAGTAAATTGTAGATTCCAGTAAACGAAATCCCTAGAGAAGAGATGCAGCCAAGAGAACGTTAGAAACTTGGTTGCAAATTGTACAAGTTTGAACTGAGAGGGCCAAGTTTGTGGGTTAAGGGAAAATAGAAAAATAGGCATCCCAAGAAGGATACATTGTTTTCCTGTTAAAGAAGTAAGGAAGTACAATTGGAAAAGTAAGTATGGGAAAGAGTGAGTTTAGGCCTACACAGAGATGCCGCAGCACACTGGTTATTTGCCTTGGGTTCAAATGCCAACTGTACAGCAATGCTGTGTGCCCACAGGCAAATTCTTAACCTCTCTGTGCCTAAGTTTCCCCATCTGCCGTGTGGAAGATTTAGAATGGCCACCTCATGGTATTATGAAAATTGGAAGAGTTGTCAGGAAAGGTGTGTGGCACATAGTACTGTTATTATATTGTTTTATTATATAACATAATTTATTATATTATGTATTATATATTAAATATATAAATTATATAATTAAATATATAAATAAATATTAAATATATAAATTTAAATATATATATGAATTTTATATAAATATAAAATTATAATAGATTGAGGCTTGAACATATGTCCAAATAAATTCCCAGAAACAGGATATAGGAAGAATCCAGGAGAACAAATATGTGAAGAAATCATGGCTGAAAATTGCACATAAAGTAAAAGAGGGTATTTCAGGTTGAAAACATGCCCTGTAATTAAGAAAATAAAGACACATCTAAATTTACCCCAGTGAAACTGCAGAATAACAAAAGTGAAAGGAAAAAAAAAAAAAAAAACCTAAAAATTACAAAAGGAAAAGTACTCAGAATTCAATGACAGCTAGAGTAACAGAAAACTTTTCATCAGAAACAACGTCCACCAGAACAAAGCAGTTATGTCCGGAATGAAGAAAAATAACCAGTCTTCAGTCAAACTCTTGTTTAAGTGTGAGGGTGAAATAATGATTTTTCTTCAGAAAAAAATATAAATAAGAGTATTTATGTCCCATATGCCCTTCATAAAAGAAGTCTTGAAGGATCCATTTCAACATGAAGAAATGGTTACTCCAAAGAAGAACACAAGAAACAGAAGGATCTGAGAAATATGTAAGAAACATTGGTAAATTTAACTATTGCATCTGTTATGTTGTAAGTAACAGACTTCTGAGTCAAACTATTTCAGAAATAATAAAAGAATTTTCTGTGTCAAATAACTGGAAAGTTCTGAGAAATAGAAATTTCTGAGCAGGTTGATCCAGTGGCTTTTCAACAGATCCAAGCAAATATCTATTTCCCCTTTATTTCTTATTTTTACTATCCACAAAGTTGGCTTCATCCTAAATATGGGTTCTTTGTAAGGGTGACATCTTTTATAGTCATAGGATGGATGCCATAAGTGTTACATGAATTCACTCTCACACATTGCAGAAGAGTGATAAACTTCAGTTTTATTATGATTGAATAACCTTAGTATCCGTCACTGTGAGTAATGCCATATGCTGATTGTAGTACATTTGGGATAACTGGACATCTAACTGTGTCTTGAGGGGCTAAATTACCTTTATTTTATAAAGACCTAGGCCTAACTGTTTAGGCTTTCAAACACACTCTTAAGTGTATTGGTATGGATATTAGAGAGGAAATAAATATACTCATTTTATTTTTGTGATTGTAACAATATATCATTCAATTTCTATTCTTGAAAACAGTTGGAATTAAAATTGTAGACTATAAAAAGAAAAATAGCTGGGGTATTTCAGTAGGTTTTTTTTTTAAAGAGTGTCTTCTTTTGGTTTGGTGTGTTTTCTGTGAGGATATAAATGCTGAACCAATTTAGAATTATCTCAGACTTATAAAGTTTGATCTCTGTGTTAAAAATGTACGAATACACATTGAAGACTAAAAATAAAGTTTGTGGTTTATAATAAAGAGACAAACAGATAACAAAGAATGTTTGAAATCTACCCAAATGTAAAAAATAAAATAATGGAATAAAAAAATACGTGATAAATGGAAACCTCAAAAATATTTGACTGAAATATGCCCAACTATATTAGTAACCAAAATAAATATAAACATATTTAATTCACCTATGAAAAGACAAAGAACATACAATTTTAAAATTCCAGTAATCAACTCTACATGAAAAATGCATTAGACAAAAAACAACTATACCTCACAAGTGTTACCCAACAGAAAATGGATGTTACAATTTTAATATCATAAAAAAATAATTTAAGGCAAAATATTAATAAAGAGAAAAGGCACACAATCAGATAGTAAAAAACAACAATAAGGAGATATCTCAACCACAAACACCTATGGTCTTTATAATATTGTTGAAAATTATGCAAGACAAAATTGATAGAATTAGTAGGAGAGATTGTGTAATTCACATTCATGCTTAGGAATTTTTAACCTAGTTATCTCAGAAAATTGTGGATCAGAAAAACCCCAAAATTTAGTTAAGTCACAGAAGATCTAAACAATGTAGTTAATGCATGTGATTTAATAGCTTTATATGTAACCCTGTGCTACAGGGAAAGCCTGGAAAGCCTGGAAAGCCACAGTCTCTAGGTAAAATATACTTTACCTTTGAAGGCCACTGGGATCAAGGGTCAGTAAGCTGGAACTCAGGAAAAGAGAAGAGATTAGGAAAATATTGTTAGTTAGGAGAACCTGGATTCTAGCAGCCTGGTTTCAGGACTAGACTGTGGGCAGATGGCTAGGAATGGACTCCTTATGGAGCAGATGGTTGAATAGGAATACAGGGTCTGATCACCAATTTAAATTTTTTCATGTTTTGTTCTATAACTCTCTGTTCCCCTCAAACTTCAGTAAAGTTCTTTTATATATAACAAATATTTTTAGTAATAGTGCTTTGCAAAATAAAAGGGGGATGAGTATGTTCACCTTAGGAGTAATGTGGATAAAACCAAGCAGATTCTAGCAATAGGTAGAAGGAAAGAACAGATGAGCCTGGGTGAACCCAGATAGAGAAACCATGATGACTACCAGGACCCCATGTTCTCAGGAATATGGGTGAGGGATGACAAAGACTTCTAGCAGCTGTGGGGATTAGTGTTCAGATTGTTCTCTTAGAATAATAAACCAAAGAGTAACTCCTTGGTAGGGACATTCAGGTTATACATCCATAAAGTATCTCATTTACTTGAAGAACATGGCTTAGTAAACTCAAGGGAAGCCTGTTTTGTTGTAGAAACAGATTTTCAGTCTGACATGCCTGAAATAAATTTGCCACAAGCTGTGTCTTTGCTACACATAAAAGTGTACTTCTATGTCTTTAGAGAACTAAGCCAAGGACACTATGTTTCCTATTTAAGAAAGAAATGTAGATTTCTCATGAAAAGGCAAAGCCATCATTTCAAAAAGATGAATTAGACAGTACTTTAAAAAGAATTCCAGGTGGTTAAGGCACTTAAAACAAGTCTAAGAAAATGTCTTGGCTTTAGGCCCAAATAATTTTAATTCAATTGTGAAAAGCATATACTTTTGCTTCTTAATTCTTGATTCTTAAGATTTTATTCTTACATGTACACAAAGGTAAGTAACAGCAGCTCACTAAACTTTTAAAAGTTAAGAAAAAAATCTCAATTTTCATCAATTCAAGGTGAAGCTGGAAGGACAATGTAGACAATGTATTGTACATTAAAGAAGAAAAACTTATCAATTAATTTGGACTTCATTCTTCAAGTCTTTGAAGTTGATTGGCAAAGCAGAACTCTATCAACCTAATTCATATCTGCCTTAGAACTTGATTTGTGCATCTTTAGCGAGAACCTCGTCTATGCAACACTTGTTCTGGAGTTGTAGAATTGATAGAATGTGAATCTACTCCCTGGTTCTCAGTAGCAAGTTTGTTGCTGCTGCTTCCCTTCCCGATCTGAAAACACTAAACAAGACCCCTAAGCAGTTCCAAATTTTCAATGGGTTGCAACACCTGAGAAATAACTAATTGATCCTTCTGTCCAAGATGATAGTTCTTGAGAAATTTTTGACAGTTGAACAAGTTCCAGCCAGTTTAACACAATGTGTTTCCATTTTTTTTACACCTTCATAAATGAGCTGACTGACTTCATTCTGCGGCAAGTCAATCACAGGGAAAACCCTCTCATAAGCTACTGATGAGAGAACATGGGAAAATCAGTGTACTTAATCATCATTACAGAAAAATTATTTACACAATATTTCCTAATAAGTACATTATCTTTGCTCCAAGTCAAAGTATCATCACATCTGAAATGGTTATATATTTTAAACAACTCATATAAGATCTTAGTTTGCATAGCAAAAATATCAATTTTTCTGGTAGGTTGGCCTTAAATGAGTCATAGCAGACAAACAATATGATGCTACAGCCCACTGCTTATCATAAACTGTAATCAAACAGGGACTGTTCTCTGTGCAAACAGCATCTGAACCAGGCCACAAGACCAGAAAACCAATCAATACCTACAGGTGAATCAAGGAATGAATGACACTACAATAGCCGTTCAAGAAATTAGAAAAGATATGTAGTAAATTCAAAGTGCTGTCACATTATTCATTCATTCATTCATTTAAATTGACCCTATTTTGCCTGATATGAGAGAGGAGAATTCAAGTTCATGTCCTAAAGATTATTTTGGAATCACCTTGGATGAGTTATTTAACCTCATGATTCATACCTTTCTCTTTCACAAAATGAGGCCAATGATAATACATGTCTCACTACCTAACCATGTTTTACAAGAGCCAAAACAAATAAATAAATTAACTGAGTATAAGAGTCCTTTATTAATTACATGGTATTATGCAGACTTAAATTAAAGCTAATTTCTACAAGATTATTTCTAACCAAGTAGGGTTCTTGCCATAGCTCTCCCAATAGCTATGTGTAACTCTCTAGTTAACTAATTATAGTTGTTACTTTATAGGAAATATGTGCCATTGATTTACTTCCCCAACAGCTAATATTTTCTGTTTAGAGACATATACCTCAAGAGTGAGACAGAAAAACAAATAAACAAGCCCATGTATTTGATACATTAAATACCATTCAAACTCCGGAAATACAGCTGATCCTTAAACAATGTGGAGTTTACGAGTACTGACCCTCATGATGCAGTCAAAAATTCACATATAACTTTTGATTCCACAAAAACTTAACTACTACTAGCCTACTAGAAGCTTTACTGGTAAGATGAATAGTTGATTAACACATATTCTTTATATGTACTACATACTATATTCTTGCAATAAAGTAAGCTAGATAAAATAAAATCGTATTAAGGAAATTATGAAGAGAAAATACATTTACTATTCATTACATGGAAATGGATCATTAGAAAGGTCTTCATTCTCATTGTCTTTATGTTGAGTAGGCTGAAAAGGAGGAGGCAGAGGAGGAGTTGGCTTTTACCATCTCAGGGGTGGCAGAGGTGGGAGAAAATCTAGATATAGGTGGACCCCCACAATTGAAATCCATATTGTTCAAGGGTCAAGTGTATAGGTTTCCATTATCAGGATCCTAGGAAACATTCATGTTTTACCATGAAAAGAAATGTGGGGATATAAAAGAAATTATGGCTGCCTAAACTTATTGAGGTACTGAACAGAGTTCAAAAGCTTGGAGAATACAGGGTTAAGTTTCGAAGTTTCTTTATTCCCTGAAATTTGATATATTATGTTGTATATAAATGCATAAATTGTCTTCTTATCAGAAGATCATCTGTTGTTTATCAAATGCTCTGTTTTCCAACTCCCAAAAGATTACGAATCACTTGCTTAATGATAACTGGATAGTAGATATAGAAAATTAGTCATAAAAAAAGATTATCATTTCAGTTACCAAGTCACGGGCCTTGGTACTTATATAAAATCTTTGCACAAAATGAAGCAATACTCTATTATTTATTTATTTCCCTCTTTTTACTTTATCTTCCGGTAGAGAATATTGAGGCAATATAGTCTTTGACAATACACCGTGTTCAATTGAATTAATATAAAATTATGGAAGAATTTTAGCCAAGATTTCTTATAGTGTCCATAACTAAATATTACATTTTAATGACTAGCCCAGTAGCCCTTCTCACAATGATATAAGATTTAAATATTGCCTAAAAAGTACTTAGAGTACTGAAGGAATAATAAAAAATATAATAAATTACTGTATTAATATTTTGTGCTGTATACCTTTTTGGTTTTCTGTGTTCTCTTTTATAGCTTCTGCTATGGGAGTTTAGAGAATCAATAAAATTTGCGCACACAAGAAAAAACGTTTTCATTTTAGAAATTGCCACATTATGGAATTCAGAGAAGTTACCTCATAGAGCCAATTGATTTTCAAATTTTCTTTCTTAAGTCATTGTATTCTCCGGTCATATCTTCTCAAGTTTGCCTTTATAGTTTTATGACAGAAAGTCGTAAGAAAGTATAAAACATTTTTCAGTTGGTTTCTGTATCTGCTTCTCACTATTGTTGGAAAAGCACTCAGTGAAAAGCTCACACTATGCTCTTGTTTTGTAAGGCAGGGAACTAAATAAAGTGAAGATTTTTATGATATTTTTGTTTATAATTGACTTCCTAAAAACTGTAAAAATTGGTCAAAAAGCCATGTAATTTTACAAAAAAGAAAAAGTAAAGTGTTCCTCCTTCAAGTCACCATGAATGACAGAGAGAATTAGGATGGGGAAGTTGGCAGTAGAAGCATCTTCTTCCAAGAAGTTTATTAAACAAAATACCCCCTAATAACTGAAAAAGTTCAAAGAGTCACTGTGCAAACACATCAAAAACAAGATTGAAGATGATGTAGAAGACCATGTGATCAACTTATGCTATGTTTTGTACTTTCTTACACTTATGTTAATTTAGAAAATATTTAAGATAATTTAGAATTAACATATATTCTATTTAAAATTAGTTAAAATTAAATAACTTTCTTGTTCAGAAATCATTTGGTTTCAAGGAAGAGAAATCCTTTAAAATTCGGGTCAATTAGTATAGGCTCCAGGAACAGACTTGGCATGTCTAGTTGTGAGCTATATGCAGGTATTACATGGATGAGAAATTCATCAGATGGATTTGTTCTTTCTTCTCTCTTCTTATCTTTCTTTTCTCTTAATAGTCCACTGAATTTTTGCTCCTAGTACTTTAAGTTCTAGGATAGATGTGCACAACGTTCAGGTTTGTTACATAGGTATGCATGTGTCATGTTGGTTTGCTGTACCCATCAACTCATCATTTACGTTAGGTATTTCTCCTAATTCTATCCCTCCCCCAGCCCCCCAACACCCAACAGGCCCCCATGTGTGATGTTCCCCACCCTGTGTCCAAGTGATCTCATTGTTCACTTCCTACCTATGAGTGAGAACATGCGGTGTTTGGTTTTCTGTTCTTGTGATAGTTTGTTCAGAATGATGGTTTCCAGCTGCATCCACGTCCCTGCAAAGGACACGAACTCATCCTTTTTTATGGCTGCATGGTATCCCATGGTGTATATGTGCCACATTTTCTTAATCCAGTCTATCATTGATGGACATTTGTGTTGGTTCCAAGTCTTTGCTATTGTGAGTAGTGCCACAATAAACATACGTGTGCCTGTGTCTTTATAGCAGCATGATTTATAATCCTTTGGGTATATACCCAGAAATGGGATGGCTGGGTCAAATGGTATTTCTAGTTCTAGAACCTTGGGGAATCACCACACGTTCTTCCACAATGGTTGAACTAATTAACAGTCCCACCAACAGTGTAAAAGTGTTCCTATTTCTCCACATCCTCTCCAACATCTGTTGTTTCCTGACTTTTTAATGATTGCCATTCTAACTGGTGTGAGATGGTATCTCATTGTGGTTTTGATTTGCAATCTCTGATGACCAGTGATGATGAACATTTTTCTCATGTGTCTGTTGGCTGCACTTTGAGAAGTGTCTGTTCATATACTTTGCCCACTTTTGGATGTGGTTTTTTGTTTTTTTCTTGCAAATTTGTTTAAGTTCTTTGTAGATTCTGGATATTAGCCCTTTGTCAGATGGGTAGATTGCAAAAATTTTCTCCCATTCTGTAGGTTGCCTGTTCACTCTGATGGTAGTTTCTTTTGCCATGCAGAAGCTCTTTAGCCACTTTTATTAGTGTGGGCTGAGTAAATGTTTTCAACCCAATAATGTCAGGGTTGGCCATATGTAAACTCCTGAAATAAAAAAAGCCAAACCAAAAATATTAAATCTGGAAAAAGTGTTGTTCAAAGCAGAACGAGAAATAATTTCCCAGACAAACAAATGCTGAAGAAGTTCATCACCATTAGATATGCCTTATAAGAACTGATAAGAGATTCCTTCAAGTTAAAACGTAAGGACACTAGACAGCAATAAAAAAGTACACAAAAATGGAAAGTTTTCTTGTAGAGGTAAATATATACATGGTACAGAATCATGTAATACTGTAAGGGTGGCAGGTAAATCAGTTTTAATTCAGGTGTAGAATTTAAAAATGAAGGCATGAAAAATATAAGTATAAAATTATGCTAATGAATACAAAATATAAAACGATATAACTGTGACTTTGATAACATGAAGTGTGGGAGGGAGACATAAAGGAGTAGAATTTTGGTATGCAGTTAAACTTAAGTTGTTATAAGTTTAAAATGGATTGTTATGACTATAAGGTGTTTTATGTACTCCCCATAGTACCATGAATAAAATACCCATAAAAGATGCACACCAAAAATAAAAAAGCCTGACAAAGTAATCAAAGCCTGTCTCTACAGAAAAATCAATAAGACACAAAAAACTGCAGTAAAACAAATTGAGAAAATAACTATAAGACACACAGAAAACAAAGGATGGCAATAATAAGTTCATCCCTATCAGTAATTATTTTAAATGTTAATATCACACTCAAAAGATTAAGAATGATTGAAGGGTTAAAAGCAATATCCAGCTATGTGCTGTCTACAAGACATTACTTTATTTATTTGTTTCTTTTCTTTTAGAGACAGGGTCTCCCTGTGTTGCCAAGGCTCTTCTCCAACCACTGGGCTCAAGCAGTGCTCCTGCCTTGGCCTCCCAAATTGAGAATCACTTTAGATATAAGAACACATGTAGGCAGTCTGGGTGCAATGGCTCATGCCTGTAATTCCAGCACTTTTGGAGGCTGAGGGGGTGAATCACTTGAGGTCAGGAGTTTGAGACCAGCCTGGTCAACATGGTGAAATCCTGTCTCTACTAAAAATACAAAAATTAGTTGGGTGTGGTGGAACGTGCCTGTAATCCTAGCTACTCGGGAGGCTGTGGCAGGAGAACTGCTGGAACCCGGGAGGTGGAGGTTGCAGTGAGCTGAGATCATGCCATTGCACTCCAGCCTGGGTGACAAGAGCAAGACTCTGAAAAAAAAAAAAAAAAAAAAAAAAAAAAAAAAAAAAAAGGCAGAAAGTAAAAGTATGGTAAAAAGTACTCCATGCAAATGGTAACTATCTATTCAACATGGTACTGGAAGTCCTAGCCTGAGTAATCAGGGAAGAAAAAGAAATAAAAGTCATCCAAGTACAGAAGGAAAAAGTAAAATTATCCCTGTTGATAGATGACATGTCTAATATATAGAAAACCGTAAGAATTCCACAAAAATACTGTTAGAACTAATAAACTACTTCAACAAATTTCCAGGATACAGTATTAACACTCCAAAGTCAGTAATGTCTTACATTAACAGTGAAAAATATTAAAAGTAAATAAAAGAAAACAATATCACTGACTGTAGCATAAAAAAATAAAATACTTAGGAATAAACTTAATCAAGGAGGCAGAAGATTTGTGCACCGAAAAGTACAAAACATAGATGAAATAATTAAAGGTACAAATAAATAGAAAGACATTTGTGTTCGTGGATTAGAAAACTTAATATTCTCAAAATGCCCATACTTATAACTTCAATGCAATCCCTATCAAAATCCTAATAGCATTTTTTTTTCAGAAATAGAAAAAATACTAACTTCATGTACGACAGTAATGAAAACATTGTGGGAGTGGCAAAATCCAGGTATGCAGACAAGTGGAATAGGAAAGAGAGCCCAGAAATAAACTCTCACTTAACATGGTCAAATAATCTTTCACAAAGGTGCCAAGGCTACACAATGGGAGAAAGGACAAACTCTTCAACAAATGGTGTTGGGGAAACTGGATATCCACATGCAAAGGATAAAGATGTCCCACTTTACTAATGTTCAACAAGCATAGGAAAAGATGCACAATGACACTAATAATGGGGGAAACGCAAATCAAAATCATAATGAGATGGGATCTCACACTCATTAGGATGGCAACTGTCTGAAAAACAACATAACAAGCATTGGTGAGGATGCGGAGAAACTGGAACCTTTGTGCACTGTTGGTAAGAATGTAAACTAGTGTAGTGGCTATAGAAAATAGTATGGAGTTTCCTCAAAAAATTTAAAATGTAGCTACCATATGATTTAGCAGTCCTACTTCTGAGTATTTAATCAAAAAATTGAAACAGGGTCTCAAAGAGATATTGAACATCCATATTTATTGCAGCTTTATACGCAATAGTCAATACGTGGAAGCAACCTAAATATTACGGTTAAAGACAATGTGATATATACGTAAAATGGAATACTATTTGGCATAGAAAAGAAGGAAATCCTGTCATAAGCTACGATATGGCTAAATATTAGGAACATTATGCTGAGAGAAATAAGCCAGTTATAAAAAGACAAATATGCATGATTCTACCTACATGAAGTATGTAAAGTAGTCAAATTCTTAGAAAGAGAAACAAAATGAATGCAAAGTTTCAGTTTTGCAAGTTGAGGTTCTACAGATCTGTTGTGCAACAATATGCATAAAGCTAGCTTTATTGCACTGTACACTTAAAAATGATTAATATGGCAAATGATATGTTCTTTGACTAAGATTTTTTTTAAAAACTAGAGGAATAGTATATGCATCTTCATAGGTATGAAACAAAGCAATTTATGGTTTGAAAGAAGGTCAGATGTCTGTGTCTCACTCAGTATCCTGTACAGGCTCCCAAGCCAACACACATTAGTTCCCAAGGGACCCCTGCTCAGAGTCTGAACTTTAGAAAGCCTAAGGCGTCTCAAACAGACACACTCAAAAAATTTATTATGGAACACACGAGTGCTCTCTCACTCCAGTTCTGGCACTCAGCATAGACAGAGGACAATCTTGTAATCTTACAAACTCACTCTCATGATGAACGCTATTCAAGTACGTCCAAGATAAATGTTTCTCCACATATTTTGTCCCCAAGTCCTCAAAACAAAAAGTGTCCCAATCAAAATGTCATGGAGGTTTGTGAGAGTGGAAATGAAAAACACAAAATAAATATAAAATCCTTTCTCTCAGAAGGCATAAATGCAATAGATTCTCAAACAGTTAAATATGATTTCAAAGTGAATTTAGCTGACCATTGACTTGCTTTTCTTTGTGTTTGATTTTAATATGCAAACATGATATGTGGGTAGCAGCCAGTAGCACACTACAACTGATGTACATGGAGGATGAGAAATACTTTACAATATTAACACAATTCGTATTATTCCTAAATATGCATATATGTACATCTTAAATAACTGCAAGAAGCAGGAAGGATACTTATTTTTCACAATTACAATCAGATGAATATTGAATGCTAGAATTGTGAATAATTTTATTTTAAACATTTTTAAAATCTAAGTAAAATTTAAAAATAAATGTTTCAGCATTATTTAATTATTGATCTTATTATATTAAGTATTTGCCTATTAGTTTTAATAAATCCTGTTGAAGATTTCAGAACTGTAACTTTTGAAAATATAATGAAAATATTTGTATTGAATTTTATATTATTTTACTACTTAATAAAATATTTTCAAATTTTGTATGCTTAGAATATAATTACAATTTAAGCACAAATATGTGACGAGCAAATGAATAAATAAGGTAGTGTTGGCAATATGAATTTCCAACAAAGTAGACCTCAAGAAAACAGGGGCATTTTATATTGATAAAAAATTTACTGTTACAAATGTATGAACTGTGGATCTTCATATACACAATAATGGTATCAAATGCAGAAATAAAAAGTTTAGAAATACAAAGAAAAATGGATAGAAATTCTATTATTACAACATATTGTAACAAACCTTTTGGGTCAAATAGAGACAAAGAAAGCAAGAAGCAAGTAAATATATAGTAGTTT